TATATGTGTGTGTGTGTATGTGTTTGTGTCTGTGTCTGTGCGTGTCGTTTAATATGTTTTAATGTCTGCCTATGGGTATGTGTAAGGGCTTATATATATAAATGGGGATGTGATCGCATGTATGTATATAAATATATACATACATATGCGCGTACAGATTTTTCATGTGTGTATATAGATATAGAATTGTATTATGTTTACGAATATACCTGTGTGTATATCGAATATATAGATCGAATTATATCAAATATACTGTAAGATTGATTCTGTAATTTCATGATGCCAGTTATAACGTACGGGCGTAAGATATGTACGCTCGCACGCTTTTGTTCGATTTTTTTTATATGCAGCACAGATTTGTAAATACCATTGTGTGTCTGTACGCACGCAGGTATCCTAATTGTACAAATGTTTATATACTGAAGATGAGATGGGCCTACCATAGGATGAAGGTAATACGAGCCTCTGTATAGCTTGCACCTTAATATTGTTAAGTTATTCGCATATGTAACTGCATGACTATATTGCTGGATGCTGTCTGCGTGATATCTAGTACATCATTTAAAAAGTCAGGCAATTACAGTCGGAGAAATGGGCTCGTTTTAATTTTTGTGTTCAATGTGTTGTCATAGTACCAAATGAATCAGGACTGGAGGAGGAAGGAGATGGGGAACTGTACAAGGCGAGCGAGGACACCACGTTCCCGCCTCAGCAGGTCGACTCCACATGTAAGTGTACCTGCCCGTACTATGGTTATGTACTTTTGATTGAAGATGAACACCTGATGTGCTATCCTAGCAAATATCGTTCTTGGCAGGTTTCCAGGTCGCTATATTGGGAGTTTCATCCCAATTTAGTATTTCTACAAGGTGGCTTATTCTGAACATTTTATCTTTAGCGCGTGTGAGTTTACTGAATTACCACACACGCGTTGGGTCGTTGTCATCCTCTGGGTTTAAAAAAGTACATAATACACAAGCGTGATAGTACAGACGGTCCCAACCTAACTTTGGCTTATTCGGTGTTCTACCTTTGCTGACAAACATTTACGTGCACCTGCTTTACTTGAGTCGGAATATGCTTAATGTTGGTCAACTCTTCTCGGTCGAGTATACTTTCGTCTGTATGATATCGTCTAGTCCATTGTCGCTATAGTATTTGATTTGAAAGCGAGAACAAGATTGATACTAAAATCCTGTATTCTTCATACCGCACAGATTTCGCGAACGATTCTTCCGAGATGTCATTCATGCTCTTACTTCGGTTTGCCACAAGTATGTCGCTTGGTTTCAGTGTGAGTGTATCGAGTTTTGAACTCCTGGGTATAAATATCGAACATCAACCAACGGACGCTTTGATGTATTTGGCTGCCATTTGGCCCTCCCTGCTCTTACTTGTATTTTTCATTGTGCCATCAAAATCGAAATCTAAACTTCAGAAACAAGGCTCTTCTGCACCCGATACGAATTCGTATAGTCGCCTAGATAGCCTTCCATACGAAGGTCCTGATAGCTCGTATATCACACTGTCAGGAGCCTTTCGCTTACGGATGTGCTGGTCGATTACTCAAGACATCGCATTTTTATAATTCTCATTCTATTTGTAGCAACCGAATCTTGGTTGCTTGTTGGAGCTAGTATCCTCTCTATGATCGTCGGACTGTTACCAAGGTGTGTACCAGATCTCTTGCTGTGAATAGCGAGCACCACACGTGACCCCTTGAAATCTTCGCGCTTGAAATTAGTTCATTGTCAATGCTTTTTGTGCGGCGCAAGGCATATGCAGTTTACTTGTCATCGCATTGCTCTTATGGGTTTTATCGCTGACTTGATTCTGCATTTCTTGGTACGGCTAAGTTTACTCAGCACCCCTAGGTAAGGTTATTAAATCATCTCGCCCCTGGCGCGCAGTTTTTCAGTCTTATTGTTCAGGCGGTGCTGATTGTTTTGAACTACATGAGAGCTCTCACTATGTTCACACCATTTGTTTTGTGCTCCCATCTGTTAATATTCCATCACCGGTTGCTTTTAATTCTCCTTGCTTATGCTTGTTGTGCCAGTCTCAACTCATGCGTTGTGTGATATGCTCACTATCTTATTGGGGCGTACTTTTACTTCATTCTCGTACGACTGTTCTATCTCAATCTGGCCACCCACGTGTCTGGACGGTGCAGTGTGTTCTGCATATTATTCGGAAGTCTTCTGGACGATATGACTGGGCTGGTCAATGCTGATATCCCTATTCTGCTGGGTGGATCGTTCGATGTGGACTTCAATTCCTTGATAGGTATGTCTTATGTTGGACACTTTTCAACTTGTGTATACTTATTTAATGCGCCTATGTTTGTAAAAACATGTTGTTCGTTTGTCTTCTCCACAACACACAAGCCGAGATTTTAAACCCGTCATGAAAAATTCATCGAAAGGAATTTTTTTTCTTCGCATAGTGTTATGCTTTATTGTAGTTAAACTTTTCGGACCGTTGATTTCACCCTGCTGCTTAATGACACGTCGCTCAGTCGTGTTATTACGTCAATACCTTGAACGCAGTAGCATCGAACTTGGGAAGTTGTATTTCATTTTGCTCATATACGCTCACAATGCGCATCCTTTTTGTCCATACGAATCTGACTAAACCGAAGTACACACCCATTTACTTTTCTGCAATCCAGGGAAGATCGAAAACCTGGACCTTAACAATATTATGCCCTTTCTGGACCAGTTTATCCCGGGTATACAGAGCACCATCTTGGGGTTCTTCACCGAGCAAGGGGCAGAGAATCTCAGGAACTTTGCGCAAACTTTGGTGGCAATGATTATGATGGCAGGTGAGTGTCAGACTGTAGTATCTGAAGTCTTAGTTCTTTCATACCGCTAGATAGCGCGTGCAGAGTTTGCTGTGTGCGAAGGGGTGGTGGTGCCACATCTCAACGGTTTTGTGAATGTTCTGTTGAAACGCGAGCAGATTCAATGTTTCCTCGTGAATATCGGTTTCAGCTGCTGCCCATGCCTATGCTTAAATTCATATGGAAGATTTGTTTAATCTACATCAACGCTCTTTCTTATAGGTTCGGGATTGCAATTATTTGACTACCTGGAGGAGAAAGTAAGTAAAACCTGACAGAGATAGTCCCATAGTCGTACCGTCGGTGTGCTGGCAGTCGCGTATATTTGCCTCTCATTTTTATCTGATCGTTTGGTACTGTCACTTGCCAGTAGTGTAGTTTGCTGACCGTACCTTGTTTAGTAGCGTCTGAGTATGCCAAGCTTCCGCCACAAAGCATTGCAAAACGTACGATATAGAGCCACTCTCCTAACTCGCACACATTTGCATGTTCCAGGTGGCTAGGTTAGCAATCATCCTGACCCTGATGGGTGTTGTGGGTATGGTATGTGGGTTTGCGTCCAAGCTGGCCTTTGGCACTGTATCCACACGTCTAGGACACCGCATCCGGCGGCTGTATGTGGAGTCTGTGTTAAGGCAGGACATGGCGTTCTTGTCCATGCACACCGCCGGAGAGCTATCCAATCGGCTGGCACTAGATATAAAGGTATGCGTGTATTCACCGATAAGTTGCTTTTCAGCTCCCGTGGTACATAGTGTTGTTTGTTATCTGGTACACGCACGTATGTGTGAGATATGGCTGATTAGGCGGTCTACATGTTCTCAAACTATCACAGAAAGTACAACCATCTCTGCTTACTTTGCCCTTCTGGTATTCCGTTCGAACATCTGCACGCATTTCGCTTCATTCTGCGCAGCTACAACGCTGACCCCGGTCCACCTTAACCACACCCACACACTCACGCCCTCATCCGAATGCACATCCATTTCGCAGCTTATAGAGGATGCACTAGGCGACACGCTTCAGCTGCTGTCCATGCTAGTAGGCCTGTGCGTGTCTGGTATCGCAGTTGGATTCGCATTCTCGTGGCAGTTGGCCATTGCAACCGTCACCATGACGCCCATGATCGCAATCTCTGGCGCGTACCTGTCGTATGCTCTGAAGTCGTCTGCGGAGGTCAGTTGTGTGCAATACCCAGTTCTATGTGTCGGAGTGGTCGGGGCGTTATTTATTTTACATAGCAGGGACTCTACTGTAGACTCCTATGCTACATGGCAGGGTCTGTTTTTTGTTTTCGTTTTTTGTATGTAGGGTCGTACCTTGTATTGTGGTTCTGGAGATTCCAGATCGATACCCACCTTACTCTTATTAGCACTTCAATAATGATCACTCTCTACCAACAGAGAAGTAGTACCATCTTCGCCAGAGCCGGTGCCATTGCCGAGGAATCCCTGTCTTTGATTCGCACGGTCACCGCCTTCAACGGACAGCGCTTTGAGCGCGAGCGCTTCAATGGCAAATTGCACGAGGCTTATAGACTGGCCATAAGTTCGCATATCAAGAATGGACTGTTAGTGGGTATGTGCTCTAGGCTGTGAGAGACTGTCTTGGTTAGTCTTTGTGAGTCGTTCGCTTTGTGGCACATTCCTGCCTGAGTAGTCATGGCGGTAAGGTTGTCGTATAGCTGACAGCTCATTATTCTGCCTATACTATTCGGGATTGTGTTTCCAATTCGTGATTGGATACCGCAATCAGTATTGACACTTTTGATACTCCGGATGCTCGCCATATTGATCATGTTGGCGTCCAGTGCTGTCCAATTGGTGGTATGATAGATACCGTAATCGCTAATGACGCCTTCGATGACTGTGATGGCCTAGCTCACCTGCTCACAATCACAATAGTTGCCTCTCCATCGCACGCCATCTCACATCACTCCTTGCCACTGCCGCAGGGCTTGCCATGTTTATCATGCTGGTGTCCAATGCGTGGTCGTTGTGGTTCATCTAATAGTTGCCTCCCCATCGCACGCCATCTCACATCACTCCTTGCCACTGCCGCAGGGCTTGCCATGTTTATCATGCTGGCGTCCAATGCGTGGTCGTTGTGGTTCGCATCGCAACTGGTGGGTGCGCGGGAAATGTCTCCCGGCGTGGGGATGACGGTGTTCTTTGCCATTGTCATGGCCAGTTTAGGCCTAGGTCAGATGTTCACTCCGGCATCCAAGATCTCAAGGGCGTGCGGTGTGGCCTACAATGTGTACAAGGTAATGCAATCGAGGATTTGGCCCACGATCTTTTAGCAGTCGCTGGAAGTCCAGTATAAGAAAGGTCTAGTTATTCGATAGTCTATCTCAGTGTCAAGCCTGGCAAGCACTACACTGGAGTCGGACATGGCCCAGGCGCGGTAACCTCACTTATCTGTGTATTCATGCAAACCTTTTTCCTGTGCCTGTCATTCATCAAACCGCAGGTAATCGACCACATTCCCGCTATCAATGCGCTGGACACCACCGGATCACGCCTGGAGAACGTGTCGGGCTGTATCGAATTTAGGGGCGTCACCTTTACGTACCCACCCACCTATGACGCACGCGCCGATGAGAAAGCTGAGGAGCAAGACTCGCTCGATCTGCGCACGTCGACGTCGTATATAGGAAAAAGTATGTTCTCACGTACTCGTCTTTGGAAAATTAGGTCGCTGTAAGTTGGTACTAAACTCGTGTCCTGCAAGTAATGATGCCACGAATCGATAAGTGATATAGATCAAGTCGTAATACATATGATTATCTTTGGTTCGTAGTCACCTTCCTTATGGTGCATTCCCTTTTCATACATCACTCGATTAAGGACGGAAAGACAACGCTGCCGTGCTACGCAATTTCAATCTCACAATCGATGCCGGTACCAAAGTGGCCATTGTGGGGGGTTCGGGATCAGGGAAAAGTACTACCATCCGTCTTATACAACGGCTTTACGATCCAGAGGTGTGCTTTGTATGGCGCTGTGTATAAGAAATGCACATTTAACAGCTTTAGATGGACTCAATTTATACCATATGCTTTCTTTTTTACTTTATTTTTATGGTACAACTGAGCATTTGCATACTACACACGTGAGTAGCCTATGCACCTGTTCAACTACCGCCATTCCCTTGAATGATCGTAGATTGTTATACATCAACGTTCCTACTTGTAGTCGCATATGTTGGCAACTAGCCTCTGGGCCATCGCGTTCTTCGCACACATCCTCAACCCCTACCTCTGAATTGCCCAGGCTGGTTCTATCTCTCTGGACGGCGTTAACCTAAAGCAGCTGAACGTACAGTGGCTGAGAGGTGCCATAGGCCTCGTCAGTCAAGAGCCTCGGCTGTTTTCGGGTACCATCGCTGAGAACATCGCCTTGGGGTCAGGTATGCTAGATTGGAGCTGATTTAGTGCATCCTGTATCCCTGTTAGTCTGGTTGATCCCGACTTTCTTGTGTACACGGAGACTTTTCGGGTTCAGGGTTTCCCATTTCTAAGTCAGGGTTTCACTTGCACTGTATTTGTTCGTGTAAAATGTTGGTACCAGATAATGTGCTGTGCTGACCAGAAATTAAACTGCATCTACGATTAAATATATCTGCATAGGTAAAAGCATTGGCATGTAGCTTTAAAAGGCTTGGGAAGTGATGGTCCTCTTATCCTTTTCCTGTATAGGTGTCGAGCTGAACGATGAATTTGAAGCGGATCTAGTAATGGACTCGTATCTCAACCGACTGTACAATGCGGAGTCTGTGTCAATGGAACAGATAGTCAACGCGGCGACGTTGGCAAACGCGCACGATTTTATTATGCAGTTGCCCGATGGCTACGATACTCTGATTGGACATAGTGGACAGGTATGTTAAGATACGGTGCTTTTACATTTGTATGAGGTTTTCTGGCTGGTCATGATGAGAGGTATTTCTCGTTGTTGAAGGTTGCTAAGGTACACCTTGGAGAAATTGAAATCCAGAGACGACAGATACATAGCTTCTATTTCAGGAAGATGTTTCGGTGAATCTGCACATGTCTTGGTGCTGATCCGTATCCTATATAGGAGAAACGTTTCGTAGCCCCATCAGATTAGACGTTACTCCATATCATCTTCTATTCTATCATCTTCTATCCATGGCGAATTCACCATTTTGTCTTCCAAAACGTACGGTAATGCAGCTTTCAGGCGGTCAGAAGCAACGGATTGCCATTGCACGGGCAATCGTGCGCGATCCGAAGATTGTGCTGCTCGACGAAGCGACATCCGCTTTAGACGTGGCATCAGAAGGTATTGATTCAATGATGTTGCAATGCACATTGCTATTCTATGTGCATTCATGTTCTATTTGTCAATAGGTGCCTACTTAAGACTTGTGTTTTCAAAAATATACTGATCGAATGCTGTTGATATATTACTTCCTGGCGTTGGGTTGTCGATAGATGTTGACGTCGGTGGGTGTCTTCGATGCGTTCTATGTGCACAGTTAGCACTTCCTCGCAAACTGATTACTCGGCTTGATAAAAACATCCTCTTCCAGTTAGCTGCATTGCCAATTCTCCTATTTGATCTTCTCTTTGCTGTCTAATGGAACGTCAACCTGCTTTATACCAACCATCTCATCATACCCCTACTTCTCTGATGTTAACTACATTAATCACACCTCGATCTGTCTCTCAGTGCTTGTACAGAAGGCTCTGCAACAAGCCACAGCCGGGCGCACAACTATAATGGTGGCCCATCGGTTGACCACTATCAGGGATGCGGATGTCATATTCGTTGTTGCCGACGGTCACATTGTGGAACGCGGTTCTCACGACGAGTTACGATACAAAAAGGTTTGTCACACCTTATATTTCGGTATATCGCACCTTATGTATGAGTATGTTACATCTTATAATTAATTTGTCATACCTTATTTTTGGATATGTCACACCTTCCATTTGGGTATGTCGCACCTTACATTTGGGTATGTCACACAATACATTTGGGTATTTCACACCTTACAGTTCCGTATGTAACACCTTACATTTGTCAGTCGGCTCCAAATTGTCTATTGTCAACCCCACTGCCGACTGAACGCTCTGGCACGGCTGATTAGACATAGAGGTGCCCCTTTTTGGTTGTAAGTTTCTCTGCGACTGCGCTGGTGTGTATGTTGGCTTATCTACTTCGTTGCCAGCTGTGAGTGCGCCAGCGACTGTATTCATGCAATCTCATCTAGCATTATATCATATCATGTCATATGATAGCTCCTTGTGCAGCAATAGGAGCCAGTCTACTAACAGGTCTTTATTGCACATTCCCTGTACAAACGACAGAATGGCTACTATGCAAAATACTTCGACACACCCGATTCTAGCACAACCACTGAACAAGGGCACCAGGGTAGTGATCACAGCCAAACACTCGCAACTCGTCTCGATTCCGGGAGCGAGGCGGACAGCGATTGCAGCGAGATGCGACGCTTGAACGGCAGCCCTGACGGCTACGGCTTAGACAGTGTATGTGGCGTGTGTGTGAAGGGAATTGTTAGTGATTTGTGTAGGAGAGGTACTGCAGCAATGTGCAGTCTACAGTATATATATATATATATATATATTATAATATATATATATATATATATTTATTTATAGATAAATCAATTATTTCGCGCCATATCGTAGCATACGCTAGGCTTCTCTCACACGCATCTATTCTCTCTTGTGGGGCGAGCAGATGGATGACAACACAGCTACGCAACTCACCCAGCACGATATCGCCAGCGAGAAATCGTTCCCGCACTCTGCTGCCACACAAAGCGACAGCCTTGAAGATAACGGAGAGGTGGCCGATAGGGAAGTTCTTAAAGCGAATGGAGTCACCAGACGTGTCTACCGATTGAACAGACCAGAATGGCCTCTGTTCATACTTGGAGGGTGCGGTGCTATACTGGTGGGCCTTGTGTGGCCCTGTTATGCGTGGTTCTTTGGTGAATTGATTTTCCTGCTGATGAACAACGACCAGGTAAGTTGGTGGTATCTGCGACGCCACGTCTGCGCCTGTGTTGTGGAGCTATTTTTGGTGCTGTTGAGCATTGGATGGTGTGTGTTTGAGCACGGCCGATCTTTACTACAGCAGATAGTGCTTTTGTGGCACAATACTCACATACATGAATAGCCGGCAGGTCCGAAGTGCAGCTCATGCCCGCCAGTAGCGCGTGTTGGACAAGACAAGAGCTATATTCGCCCCGTGGTATATTTCTGTTCATCTTCCTCTACTATTGCACTTATATGGATCTCACTGCGATTTGTTCAGGGCGAGGTGGATACAATGGTGATCAAGTTCATAGTGCTCGCTGCAGTTGCCTTTGTGGGTAATGTGATCAACACCGTCTGTTTTGGCTATGCTAACGAGCGCTTGGTCAGGTATGTACTTTGCATCAACTTGTTAATGATAGACACTGGCTACTTCGGTCCGAGATCTCCATCCAGATTCCGCAGGCAGTACAATTGGTTGTCACTTAGATCGGGATCCCCTTCAGTATTTCAGGTACGTACCCTTATCTCGAATGATTACTCACACTTTGTACTTCTATACGTATGCGGTGCCAGGCGCGTCCGCCGCATGCTGTTCTCGGCATATATGCGCCAAGACGTCGCCTGGTTTGATATCGAAGACCATCTCCCCAGCTCTCTGGAATCCAAGCTTGCCTCTGATGCACTTGCCGTAACTGGTGTTACTGGCAGTTATCTCTCAACGCAAATCACACTCCTCGCAGGTACGCATTCAATGGAGATATACCCATAGCCGTGCTGTGCTTATGACTATCTTCACTTCTATCGATTTCGTGAATACTCGGGGAAAGTATACTATATAGAATTGGAGTAACTTATGGGAGTTGCTGTATTAAATTCTTACCTGAGTACTGTCATAATATAAATTGGGTATGCATTGGCATATAACGTATGTACTGGCGTGTCCCCTAATATACCCTCTCGTTATATGCCATGGCATGAGAACTGACACCTAAATCCCACCAACTCGCATGTTCTTTGTCTTCACAACAGCTTTGTGTGGAGCCCTAGTGGTCGGCTTCGTATCCTGCTGGCAGTTGGCGTTCCTTCTCTTCACTATCGTGCCTATGGTGGGTTTAGGTGTTCTCATTGGGCTCAGAATCACCGGAAAGGCTCAGCACTTTGCCTACATGCAGCTAGCCGAGTATGTCGTTGTGATGGCTGTGCAGTTTGGGGTTTTGGTTCATGATCGCATCTTTTGAGAATCCCGTTTGCATATCGATTGGTGTGTGTCACGGCTGACATCGCATAGAGCATTGCACGTGGTGTGTTCATGTGTGTAATATTCGTTTTAGAAGAAAGAAGCTGCTTCAGCATCTCCTGCCCGATTTTCGAAAGGAATCTATTGAGGGTTAGTTGCCGCTATTTTCAAGTCAGTTTAGCTTTGTTTGGAATACAACTCTCACTCGCACACCACTCAGGGGTAACGAACGCGCCGTAGAAGCCATCGACGAGGCTAGAACAATCCTAGGCCTTGGTTCCGCCCCGGTGTACAAGTTCTTGGACGACTACAGGACAGCGCTGGGGAAGCCGGGAAAGGCACTCGAACGTGCTCTGGTATACAATTCCTTTGCTTTCGGGTTCTCGCAGCTGGTTGTGTTGAGTGTGTGGGGGGGGGCCTTCTACTACGGTATGGAGCTGATAAAGGGAGCTCATTGCGATATCATCGGAATGATCAGGACTGTCTGTGCGGTCATCTTTGGTAGGTATTAGGGAAAGGTCTTTACACCTTTTTTCTCCTTAATTGGACCCGTTTGTCTTGTGTTGATTTTGGATCTTCAAATCATCCGTTGTGCTGTCATGTGAAAGGTATTTATCTGTGGTTGGCAGCCGACATTCCGTTAGTCACTTTCTCTCCGACGATTATACTTGTACTCCTCACCACCACAAGGGCACCTCGACAGTATATCTTTGGAACTGCTGTCGTCACACTTATGCGTACTCTAACTTCGATATCGTGCAGCACTTCACATTTATGCACGGTACGTTGCACGATGATTAGCTGGCAATTACAAGTCTTTTCAACTGAGTTAGTTACAAATGCCCATTCTATCAGGCGGTCTCGGACTCGGGCAAGTACTAGCAGTGATCCCTAACCCCAAGGCAGCACAAATAGCCGCAACCTGGATTTTCAATATTGTGGACCGTGTGCCTTTGGGCGCTGAAGTACCATCCAAGAAGGTACTTACCTAAATAGAATACTATCGGGCTGATGAATGCTTTGCTTGTCTCCCCTGTGGATGGGCATCTGTACCACGTTTGTTCAGATTTTTACCATCTGCTGATTGATTCGCGTTGAACACCTTCATCGAATAGCAGTAGGTATACAAAACCCGGTAGATAAATTAACATGTCGCTGACTGACAAACGCACGGTCACTGTAAACTCTTTGACAGGAGAAAAAGGGCAAATACTTCGAAAATACAAGAGTACGACCCAGCCGAGCCAACAAACCACTCCAAGGCGAAGTCGAATTCAGGGATGTTCAGTTTGCGTATCCATCCAGACCGCAGGCTCAGGTACAGACAAGCATTCAGACAAGATTCGGATACGGTTGTCAGAAAGTTTCTTTGAAAAACAAAGATTTGTGCTTTGTTGTACTTGCGTTTCAGAACCGCGCTTTACGGACAAACGAGATGCTTTTAGGCCTTGTTGTTCAATTCTGCTCGTAATTATGTTGATTTGAAAATTGATGTCCATCACTTAAGTATATGCATACAAATGACGGCTCAATAGGTGCTCAAGAGGCTGAGTTTAAAAATCATGCCCGGAGAGGTGGTGGGTATAGTAGGAGAAAGTGGGTCAGGCAAATCAACCCTTGTTTCTCTGCTGGAACGATTCTATACGGCACAGGATGGTGATGTGCTATTGGATGGTCAGCCAATTAGTGAGTACGATGTGAGCTGGTTGAGGACACAGGTTAGTTTGGCAGTGTGAGTTTACAATGTTATATCTGCTGTGGGCAGTGAAAGTATCTCGTCAGTACTCCTTCGTGTTCTTCGCAGATTGTTGCGTCATATTATGTTATTAGACAGATGAGGCTTTATGTGTTCCCTATTGTCTTGTATCTTCTATTCAAATCCCATATATCCGCTATATCCGCCTGTACATCTCTTTGTTACATGCCGCGACCTCTGCGCAGTGTTTCAGGTGTCGAGTCTGTATCAAATAGGCACTATTTTCTATTTTCTACTACAGATCGGACTGGTTTCTCAAGAACCCCACTTGTTCAGCTCTACTGTTCGCGAGAATTTATTATATGGCCATCCAGCTGTCGACACAATTTCTGAGGACCACTTGATGGATTGCCTCAAAGAAGCGAACGCTATGGAGTTCGTCAGCCAACTACCACTTGGTATGTGCAACCCATATTTATAGTCTGAAGTTAGGCATATGCTCGTTTGCTTACTCTGAATTCCCTTCACTTCGCCGCTAGTATCTACTTGAAGCGTGTGTCTTCTCTGCCCATATTCCCCGCAGCAATGTACTGCAACTGTAAACAATGAGATTATGCACTGCAACTGAACATTATATATATTGTTTCCTACTATAAATATATCGCTTGTATTCTTGACAACTCACGGCCGCTATTTATAAATCGCTCAGGTGTCGATACATTGGTGGGCGAGAAGGGTGGTAGCATGTCCGGCGGTATGAAGCAGCGGCTGGCTATTGCGCGAATGTTGCTTAGAAACCCATCCATCATTCTGCTGGATGAAGCAACCAGTGCACTGGACAACACATCCGAGCGGCTCGTCCAGACAGCGTTGGATAGAGTAATGAGTGGCCGCACCACCATTATTGTGGCACACAAGTAAGTAATACCGAAGCTCTACGTGCATGCTACAGCTGGTTAGTATTTGTTAGTCGCGCGGTTGTTTATAGCAGAACTATAGGAGAGTATATGTAAAACTTTTTATAGGTGTATATACAGCCGCATTAACGGTACAGCGACACTCGTGAAAGTGAATCTGAAGGGCTGATATTTTATTTGGCTTGCTGTTGTCAGTACGCATGCTGGATATCGGTCGGAATTCCCATTACTGGTTACACTCGAAAGAATACTGTGCGGCGACAGTATTGTGGGCTGTCTGACAGTATTGTGGGCTGTCTGACAGTATTGTGGGCTGTCTGACAGTATTGTGGGCTGTCTGAATTTCCAAGTGCTCGGATGAGTGAAATATGTCCTGGTCTGCTATTTATGAATATGCTCTCTCCTGTTTTCTTTGTATTGCAGACTCGCGACTCTGGCTAAAGCCGATAAGATAGTGGTTGTGGTTAAGGGAGAAGTGAAGGAAATGGGCACGCATCAAGAACTGGAGCAAGCGGGTGGACTCTTTACGGCAATGTTAAAACAACAACGAGATGCCACGGAATAATTGAACTTGTTTACTGAAACAAACATGGGTGATAGTTTCGACGAAAATAATGCAACATAACGCAACACCCTTATGAATATGTAAATTGATAAACAAGTTATAAACAAATCAATCTTCTCTTTGTTGTTCAACTGATTCTCAACGATTTCACTAGCAATTATTAAATTGATTTATGGTAGGTCGCCTATGCATGCTCCAGGATGCTAGGTTGAAAGTTACACGCAGTCAGCATTCCCCACTTTAAATAGAACAAGACCGGTGATCGCGGTGAAATAGTCTTTTCACATTCCACGGTGAACAAATAATTAGTGTCCCACGTTCTTCGGCTGCCTCTACAGATGGTACCCGGCACAGAAGATAATTTACTGATTTGTGATGTTTGATTTGAAGTGTGGTTGACATCATCCCGCGCGTTCACCACTCGAATATGATAGCCCAACAATCTGCGAGTTTATTCATTTTGTGAATTTGAATCAAACAGGCCGCGTACGGGTCAGTGGATTTGTGGTTGTTTTTGTATCCTGAATACCGATGCGTGTTTGACTTTTCGGAGTCTTTCGGAAGCTAACCTTCAGCATCGCCTTTTTTTTATTTGTTACACTCACAGCCTTTGGCCTTATTCTGACTCTGAGATCAAATGTCTACGGTCTATTTTGTTGTTTTTTTAAACAAATTTTAAGAAATTGTAAACAAATCGTACGCGTTTATCTGCAATTACGTTTTGATTGACGCGTTGTATTTGCGTACGATTGTGGGTGGTTTGTATGCAATACGGCGCAGTCAGCGCTCAGCACTAGCAGTGTGCACCTGTTGCTTGCACAGTGCACAGTGCACACACAGGCTATGTAGTAAGTACATTGTACAGCTGCCAGCCCTCCGAGTCTCTGACTCTCTCTCCACTCTCCACTCTCCAGTCTGACTCTTTACTCTAGAGTCACTAGCCAGCCACTCGAATCCAACCAGTGCAGTTCCAGTGATATCATCAAGGCTACTATGTATTCATTTTCTCATAATACTTGTTTATGGGTGATGCATAGCCTTCTAAATTGAAACAAGTGATGATTTATGAGGGATGAGAGCCGAGATGAGGAGTACTTAAAGGTCGCGCTGGACACAAAAAATATCAGTCTTCGGAGAAACAACATTATGGTGTTTAACCGTGCACTCAAGGAGTCTGACAAGGTTCCATTCCAGCAGAAGCTGCCACGAAATGGTGATATTGGATAACAACTGCGGCAGCGTGTTCCCTACATGCTGCCTTAATTATCGGGAATCGAAGTCAGTCACGACTTCGAACAGCAACAACCTGGAGATTACACACTTCTAACACGTCCAATCGGCAGCGTCTACTCCCTGCTCCCTTATCAAATGGGGATCGAAGTCAGCCACGACTTTGAACTGCAACTACAACTACAGACAAAGGCTTCTATCTGGACTATCTAGCACATCCAATCGGCAGCATCTACTCCCTGCTACCTTATCAAATGGGGATCGAAGTCAGCCACGACTTTGAACTGCAACTACAAACAAAGGCTTCTATCTGGACTGTCTAGCACGTCCAATCGGCTGC